GAAGAGAGAGATGGAGCCTTGTGAACACCTGGGGGAGCAGAAGGAACAAAAGCTGGGTGAGAGGGAGAAGGCTGGCATGTTAAAGGAATAGCAAAGAGTGTGGCTGGAACAGAATGTGCGAGGGCAAGACCGAAGGATGAGAGGTTGGAGAGGAGAGCAGGAGAGAGATTGTAGGCAGGGCTGAGGAGTCAGGCTCAAAGTGAATAGGAAGTAATCAGAAGATTCTGAGCAGAATGGGATCTGATCAGATATCTCTTTTTTTTTTGCGATACGCGGGCCTTTCACTGTTGTGGCCTCTCCCCTTGTGGAGCACAGGCTCCGGATGCGCAGGCTCAGTGGCCATGGCTCACGGGCCTAGCCGCTCCGCAGCATGTGGGATCTTCCCAGACCGGGGCACGAACCCGTGTCCCCTGCATCGGCAGGCGGACTCTCAACCACTGCGCCACCAGGGAAGCCCCAGATTTCTCTTCTAAAAAAGCCCCCCTGGCTAATGGTGGAGACTGAACAATAGGAGGGGAAGAAAGGCTGCAGAGCGCCCAGTGAAGAGGCTGGCGCAGTCCAGTTGTCCAGGAGAGTAGCGACAAAGCTATGGTCTGGGGCGGGGTGCTGGGGAGCAGAGGTCAGTCTTCCCAGCTGCACAACGAGGGGTTTGATGAGATGGTCCCTTAGGGCCTTTCCAGCTCTGGCATTTTGTAATTTGCTTGAATTACCTCAGCACACACCAACTAGGTGCATCCAAGCCCCTGTTTTTCTTTCCTCACAATCTCTTGGATGCTGAGTCTGGACAGAGCCCAGTGACCTGAAGCTCAGAGTGGAGACTCCTGCCCACCCCCACTTCTGTCCCCACTTCCCAGGGACAGATGGGTGGGCAGCAGGAGACAGCTGTGCCTTGATGCCTGCAGGGCCCCGGGGGAAGGATTTATCTGAGCGTACATAACCTCTCTCTGCCTTGCAGGTCTTGAGTTAAAAGCCCCAAATACCACAGCCCCAAGGGGCAAGGGTTGGAGGGTGCCAGGAAAGGGGCAAGACAAGACACTTTTCTGCTTCTGTCTCCAGCTGCCCACAGTGGGGCAGAGACCTGGGCTGCTGAGAACTCCAGCCTGGAAGCAGAAGGCCGTTAGAGCCGAGGCTGAAACCTGGTGGCCCTCAGGCCACATCTGACCCACTGACCTATTTATTTGGCCTGAAAAGTATTTGAGAGAAAATGGAGCCAAGGTTTAAAAATCAAGAGATTTTACAATAAAATCTGGATTTCTGGCTTCTCTTGAGTAATTGGAAAATCTGACCATACTGACTGCCTATTCCCATAGGACAGCACTCAGCAATAGCTGAGTAGCAGCCGTCCCCATTATTATTTCAATTTATTAATAGGTAAATACAGTCGCATGATTCAAAAAATTATAAATAGGCATATTATAAAGTCTCCCTCCCAACCTGTTTCCCTTCTGCCCAGTGCTCCCCAGTAATCTCATTTCCTTACGTAGACTTCCAAAGTTTCTTTATGCATGTGTAAACAAATACAAATATAGATTATTAGTCCCACTTTTCACCTGTTCTGTCCCTTGCTTTTCCATACGGCTGCCTCTCCGTATTAGGAGACAGAGTGCTTCATCACCTCCTTTACTGCCACATGCCATTCCGTTGTCAGGAAGTCCATGATTTATTTAGCCAGTCCCCTACTGATGGGCATGTGGGTCGTTCCCAATTTTTCTTGTTATAAACAATGCAGTGTCAATTATCTTGTGCACAGTTTTCACAGGACTAAAGGAATTAGTCCTGTGTATTAGAAACTGGTCCAAGCAGAGGGAAACTGGTCCTGTGTATTAGAAGCTGGTCCAAGCAGAAGGTGTGGTAGGCATGGATTAAGCTCTTAGCTAATTGAGGAAATGTGATGAAGGCTGTTCCCAAGAGTGATTTCCAACAAAGCCCAGAGGCCATGTCCTTGGGCACTAAGGAAAAGCTCCCAGATTTGCTTCTGCCACTTGCTAGATATACTTCTCTCTGGACCTCAGTGTCCCTGTTTGTAAAATGAAAGAAGAGCTCAGGGAACTAGATGAGATCTCAAAGGACCTACCCACTTCTGACCAGCTGTGGTTCACCTTCTGCCTCCACATCAGCCAGACCCAGCCTCATCTTAGCCCTTGAATGAGCCTGGCTCAGTCCTACTGCAGAGCCTTTGCCCAAGTTATTCTGCCCCCAGCCCCAGTGGAACACCACCCCTGTACTTCCTCTTTGGTCTTAGTCTAAATCCCTGATCTCTGACCTCAGACCACTCAGAACACACTGGTCCAAACTTGCTCAGGGCAGAGTCCCCTCTACAGCACCAGTGGCAAGTGGGTCCCTCCCACCTGACCCACTCAGGCACCCCATCAGTTCCTTCCTCAGTGTCACTCCTCCAGTTGCCTGAACTAGAGTTCTCGAATGCCAACTCTGCTACTTCCTAACTAATGGTCTCGGGTAAATGACAGCACCTCCCTGAGTCCCAGTTTCCTCAACCCCCCCAAAAAAGGCTAGTTGGAGGATAACGTGGTAATATCAGTAAATTTCTTAGCACAGCTCCTGACACACAGAAGGGCTTCATAGTTACACAAGTGGCTGACCTTTTCCGAATAAGTTACTTTGTTTATAAAACGAGGAGAATAGCAGAACCTATTTCATAGGGCTGATCACTTGTTCATTCATTCATTCATTCAGTGATTTTTATAGAATATCTATTGAGTGCCAGGCACAGCACTGGGCACCCGGCGATTTGTCAGTGAAGAAAATGGATGAATTGTCCCGACTCTCATGGAGCTCCCAGACAATTCCAAACAGGCAGACGTAAAAGATAAATTGCCAGTGTATTGATGTTAAGAAGGAAAAGACTAAAGTGTCATGGAAGCTCATAATAGGGGAGGGTCAGGGAGATTTCTCTGAGGGATAGGGAGCAGGGCACAGCTGGGTAGGAGATCCAAGAGGGCTTTCTGAGGGAGGCATCACCCCAGCTAATGATTAGCATTAATTTTCACCACAACCCTAGGAGGAAGGCACTGGTTATCCCCCAAGCCCACCATTTTACTTTCTTTTCTGAAGCTAAGAGAAATTGAGTGACTTGCCTAAGGTCATAGAGCCAGGAAGGAGTGAGTAGGTTTTGAACCCAGGTTTCCTGGCTCTAGAGCCTCATACATAAAAGTGTGACTTCTACTGCCTGTTTGAACAGGCTGATCCTGGGATGTGGAGAGGCATGGGAGGTAGAGGGGCTGCCTCCATTGGGTGGGGCCCGGGAGGTGAGAACTTAACTCTGTCAGGCCCTATCCATACACATGCAGAACTGGCCCAGGGCCATAAGGGGATCTGAGGTCAGATCTTCCCTCTGCTCAGGGCTCCATGCACTACATGAGTCTCCCTGCCTAGGGTTGTAGAGGAGAAAGAAAGGAAGAGACACTTCTCCTGCTTAATCACATTGGGATTCGGACTCCCCTCCTGCCCAACCCACAAAAACTCCCACCAGTCTACACATGCCTGCGGATAAAGACTGTCAGCTTTGTATCCAGCTTGGAAAACTCCCTTAATCCCTAACTCTTCGTCCTCCATTTTCAGCCTTGGACAACAGCTGGCACTCCAACTCCTGAGCGTTGCTGGGACCAAAACAGTCCCTGGACATGAAAGGGATGTTGGGCTGAAGGACTGCAAATGGCTGCTCCTTCCTGATCCAGGGCAGCTGTCTCCCTTCATCTTCCCTTCCTTGCCACTCTGAAGCAGGGTGGTCCTCAAACCTCCCTTCCTCCCCTCTTCTCTCCTCCCTTTCTCACCTAATTCCCATCCTCCCTTTGGAAGGTAGAAAAGCTTACTCTGGAACCAGATGATGGGTTTGAATTTGACTCTAGCACTTACTGTGTGATTCCAAACACATAAATAAACTTCTCTGTGACTCAGTTTCTTCATCTGTAAAATGGGAGGGAAACATAAACTACCTCACAAATTGTAAGGATAAAGAGTTAGTAAATGTACAGTGCTTAGAATGATTCTGAGCAAAGGGAAAGTGCTACAAGAGTGCTTGTATCATAAATGCCCTGGTACATCCAATCTGAGCAAAGCAGGGTGAAGTGGGGTGGTGAACTAGGGATATCCAGGACATATGAGGGACCCTACCACTCTCATGGATTACTGTTATCACTCTCTCTCTCTCTGGTCTCTCCATCTCCACACTGCTTCCCTGTAAGCACTTCTCTCCTCTGGCTGCAGGGTCTTTTTTCCAAATCCTGATTTGATCACATTACTTCCCTGATCAAATTCTGAGAGTTTCCCCATTGCTTCGGGCTCTTTAGGATCGCATCCCTTGGAACTCTCCAGCCCCAACTTTCCTAGCTTTCCACCTCCTTGGATCTGTGATCCAGACTTCCTTGAAAACATGCCCTCCAGTCTCAGGCCTCCAGGCCTTTGCACTTGCTCTTTCCTCCACTTGGCGTTTCCTCTCATCCCTTTCCCTCTGATGTTGCCCCCTTCCCAGCCTCTGTTCGACTAGGGCTGTGGCCTGATGAAGCCCCCTCCCTGAGGGAGGGGAAGGGGAGAGTGGGAAGAGACAGCAACTCTCAGAGCTGCAGTTTACTCAGCCTAAATAAGAAAAACACAATAAGAAAAGAGACCTCTCAAGATCAAAGAAAGGGATGGAACAATATGTGAACACTTTGGAAACTAGGAAGTGGGGTGTTAGCATGGAGTGATGGTCTACTGGGGTGCCTGCCTAAGAAGCCCCTTACTTTCAAGTCCCTGGTCCCCTACTCTCCTCAGACCCAGACCACTGAAGGTAAACAGAGGAGATAAATGGAAGAGGAGAGGATGGAGAGAGGGATGGTGAAGAAAAGAGGAAAGAAGGAAGTGGAGTGAGGTGGGGGGCTTGGAGGCAGAAAGCATGTGGCTGGAGCCCCACGCCTCTGAGGAAGGAAGAGGAGGGTGACCTGGGATGCTCTCCCCTCCCCTCCCCCTCTCCATTCCCTGGAGGGCTGCCCGCATCCGGTCACAGCCCAGGAGGGGTGGGGGAAGGGCGGGGGCGGGGGCGGCGCCGAGGGGAATGAATAATTGAAGTGTAGGGGAGGAGAAAGAAGAAGAGGAGGAAGAGGAGGAGGCGGGAGCCGCCCGCACAGGGTCCTTCCCACTCCGCACCCCACCCCCCTCCGCCGCCCGGAAGTCGCTCCCCGCCTCCTGCTCCGCCAACATGGCCGCGAAGTCGGATGGAGCGGTGGCCGCGGCCGGCCCGGGGCCGGAGGGGGCGGCCGGAGGAGCTCGGGGCGGTGCGGGTGGGCGCGGGGAGGCGGCGGCGGCAGCCGGGGACCCCGGGGTAACCGGGGCGGGAGGCCCGGGGCCGCGCTACGAGCTGCGGGACTGCTGCTGGGTGCTGTGCGCGCTGCTCGTGTTCTTCTCCGACGGCGCCACGGACCTGTGGCTGGCGGCCTCCTACTACCTGCAGGGTCACCGCACCTACTTCGGCCTCACGTTGCTGTTTGTGATCCTGCCCTCGCTTGTCGTACAACTGCTCAGCTTCCGCTGGTTCGTCTACGACTACACGGAGACCGCTGGGGCCCCGGGACCCGCAATCAGCACCAAGGACAGCGGCACCGGCGGACCGGTCATCAGCACCAAGGACAGCGCCGCCACCTTCCGTACCAAAGAAGGCAGCCCCGATCTGGGCCCCCGACCTGAGCCCTCCTCGGCCAGCGCCTACCGCCGCCGCTGCCGCCGCCTCTGCGTCTGGCTACTGCAGACCCTCGTCCACCTCCTGCAGCTCGGCCAGGTCTGGAGGTAGGAGAAGCTCAGGTGGAGAGAACTGAGTTGGAGGAGTGGGAGGTGGTAAGGGGCTGCCTGCCGCCCCAGCCTTTCTCTGACCCTCCACGCCCGCTCCTGTCCTGACCTCCGCCCCGCCCCACCCTATTGCAGCTCTGATTCCTCCTCTGCCAGCTCCTCCCTGACCTCTGCCCTCTAACTCTGATCAACCTCTCTACCATCCCCTATGATCTGGCTATTGAGGGAAGAGGGAATGGGGCAAGAAGAAAGAGAAAGAGATCCTCAGGGGTGTGTGAATGAGGAGGGCCCAGGGCCGATGGAGATGAATGTGAAGGTTGGAACAGGGCCCCAGGGCTCCATCCAGCCCTGTCCCACTCCTCTCTGCCTGAGTGCTGAGCCTGAGCCTGGGCTTAGGAAAGATCTCAGAAGTCCCTCTCTGCTCTCAAAGATTCTCAGTTCGGAATTGCAGTCCATTCCCAACCTCCCAGGAGAAACAGAATTCGAGGCAGCTAAATGAATATCTCGCCAAACTTTTTGGACTTTTAGGAAAGGTTGTGGTGGACCTAGCTGAGAAGGTGTCTAGCTCCTCTGCCTCCTAGGACTTCCCCAGTGTCTCTGCAGCGCCCCCCCCCCCGCCCCCGAAACAGAGCCATGGGGATATGGGATCTTGAATCTGAGATTAGATAGCCACTATCTGTCCTTTCATCTCAGGACAGTAAGACAAAACTGAAGCTTTGTACAAGCCGCCCAATTCTAGGCTTCTTCCTCTGCCAGGACTGAGGGTGGCTGCTGAGCTGAGTTAACTGGAGACGAGGAATTCTGAACCTAGGGTTCCCCTTGAGTCTGTATTGCTCTAGTAGCTTAGGCTCTACTGTGCACTGACAGAATGAACTTGTCTGCTATTTGATCTTACACAAACCCCTCCTCCCTCCAAGCCTCAGTTTCCTCACCTGTGAAGAGAGGGCTATTCCCTACTCTTCTAATCTCATTGATTTACATTACATTTTCTTACCTCTTGGGATGGTCAGGTGAGAAAAGGTCTTTGTAAAGGCCCTGCAGACTGTAACATATTTTAGGAATGCAATAGATTATCATGATTATCACACCTGTGGGGAAAACATGGAAAAAGTCAAAGTCACTGTGGAGTAAAGGGTGATTATTGCTGTTGTTATATTTATTCTGCTACTTGTTAACACATTCTGCTTAACTCAGAAGATGCAGTTCTGAGCTGAGGGTTGGAAAGAGGACTCCCAGGGTTTATCCCAGCTGCTCACTTGCTGTGTCACCCTTGTTGTGTTGCCAAATCTCTCTCTGACTTGCTTTCCCCATATGTGCCTTGCCTAGATGATGTATATATTCCATTTAGCTTACCCTGGGGGAAAAGGTGGGAGGAGCTCTATCCACACAAGGTGGTGTTATTATTATTAGCTTGACACAAAAAATATTCATGTCTACATCCAGGAACTAATCTGCATTTATCATTCTGTGCCCGAGTGGACAGATGGTGAAAGATATTTTTAGATTCTGAAATGGTAACTTCCTATTCTTGGTAACCAAACCTTCATCCCCCTTTCCCTTCAGCCTAAAATGGGCCAGCTGCCCCTTGACTCACTGGCTACCTCAAAACCCCCTTCTCCCATTTTCAGAATCTACTTACAAGAAATGCATACTCCTTTCTTGAACATAAACTGCATTTCCCTCAAACAGAGCAAAAAATGACCATGGGGTGGAGGTGGGGGTCTCAGGGGAGTGGCTGCAGATGGCTGAGGGTCCACTGAACTCCATGGTTTCTTAGGTAAAAGGGCTAGCGATTTCTACTCTACCCTATTCGTAAAATGAGGGGCTTGGGATGAGATGATTTTGCAGGGATGACAAATTAATGGCTCTTAGGTTGAACTTGGCCTACAGAAGTGTTTTGTCTGGCTTGCATAGTATTTCAAAAATCCAAAATCCTAGCTCCTCTTGAAAAAAAAATGCATCTAGCAATATCAGGCCTGGAACAATTTAGACAGGGTATATGTGCTTCAGTTTGTCGGGTTCCATTCTCTTTGATCACATCTGGACTCTTTCACTTAGGCCTTAGGGGCATGAGAGCCCTAATTTACAGTTCTGTAACAATTGTTTCATTAAGCATTCACCTTGTGCCAGACTACTGATTGCCTTTTTACCTGCTTCATCTCCTGTATCCCTCCTAATAATCCGGCAATGTGGTTGTATTATCATTCCTGCTTAACAGATGAGGGAATGGAGGCTCAGAAAAGGGACATCCTTGCCCAAGGTCACATGGCTAGGGAGTAAAAGCACGGGGACTCAAGACTCTCTGCCTTCAAAGCCCAAGTTCAATTTATCTCCCCTGCAATTCTGCCACTAAAGTGTCCTCCAAGCTCAAAGAATTATGAGTCTGAGATACCAAGATTCCAGGATGATAGAAAGTCAGGGCTTCTGCTGGACTGAGATAAGAATGGGAAAGGAGGGGGAGGGAGTTGAACTATGTGGATAAGGATGGGGAGACTGTGTATATTGTCAGGAAAGTGCTGGATTGGGGGTAGGGCGGGATCAGGAGACTTCATCCAGGTTTGTAACTAGCTGGCTAGGTGACTTTGGGCAAGGCTCTTCCCACCTCTGGGCCTCAGTTTCCCTGTATGTAAAATGAGAATAATAGATTTGATGACCTTAAGAGCCTTCCCTTTTCTGGAAGTCTGACTCTGGGTCTATATCAGAGCTAAACCCCTGGGCCCCTGTCCCAAAAGCTTTGGATTCAAAAATGGCTGAGAGTCTGGCTAAATGGAGAGAGATCCAGACAAGAAGCCACCAGAGTTGGTATTCCTAGAAACTAAGCAATGTGGTAAGCAAACATGAGGTTCCCACAAAGAACAGGTTCACTGTCCAGCGGGACTTGCTGCAGATGTTCTGAGGGCTGGACCCCAGGGTAATGAGGAAGGAGATGTGTGTGTGAGACCTGCATGATCAAAGCTGAGGGACTGGCCATTCACTCACCTGCTGATCCCACGCCCCCAAATCTGAATAAATTAATTTGAATCATAAAGATATCTTTCAACTCCTTATGCTTGCACAATGTTGAATCAAAACCTTGAATACTTTGAGGAGCTAGTAACACAGACTGTGTCAGTACATGGGTGTCAGACAAGGGGACAGTATGGGACAAGCAGTGTCCTAGAGAAGCTGAAGCTTCCACCTAGCTCCAGCTGATGGTGCCATAAGAAATCATGGACCAGGTGTTGTCAAGTCTTGATTTCTCAAGAGAAATGGGAAATTGGGATTTTTTTTTTTTTTGGTGAATTCTGCCAGTATTCAACTACTAATTAAGGTTTTTAAAAATAGTGTCAACCACAGGAAACATATGGGGGCCCATCCTCTTTGTAACCTCTGGCCAGCTCCTTACAATTGATTCAGGTCCTTTCTTCTTCTGTTCCCAAACAGGCCTGCAAGATGCATGTTATTATTTTAATCACAAAATGGGGCTCTGAGGAGGGAGAGCAAGGGAAGGAATTCACAGACACTATGTACCCTCCATGTCCCAGCAGGCCCCATGTGAGGTGCTCTAGGCATGTGATCTTGTTTTGCCCCAAAACCTTCCCTCTGGTGACAGTTGATATACCCATTTATCAGACAAGAAAGTGAGGCTTGGAAAAGTCACGTAACTTGCCGAAGGTCACCCACTGAGCAAGTGGGGGAGAGGAGAGGTGTCAACCCACCTTTGCCTAATTCCCAAGCCCAGGCTCTATCCCTGATACCACCACACTGGCTGCATTAGAGGATCCCAGAGCAATGGCCCGGTACAGAGACAGATTGATCCCTGAGAGAACACACAGATCCTCTGGTCAGACATGAAGCTGGCTGGGGGCTGGACACCAACCTGTGTTTTTATGCCTTCTGCCCAGCTCCCACCCCCATCCCTCTGAGCTGTTAAGCCACTCAGCGCTGTTAAGCCAATTAAAGTCCTAACCCTGTCCACTCTGACCCTGTGGGCAGGAGAGCAGTAAGCCATGAATCCTGCTTTCCCTAATCTTAAACTCACTGGGCCCCAGCTTTGCCCCGATAAGCGTGGTTTGTTAAGCCAATTAGTGGAATTAATCTGCCATGGGATTCCTCCCAGGCTGTCAGGATCTGGGGACCCCAAAATGGGAGGGAGGGGAAGGAAAGAGGCAAACTGGACTTTGAAGGCCCTCCCTCTACCACGCTGTCTATGTCTAGGCCCCAGCACTGCTCCCTCTGCCTCCTCACAAGCCCTGCACACCAGAGAAGTTCAGAAATGAATTAGTGACCTACCTGGTATGAAAGTCAGTCTCTGGGGCTCCTCTCTGGGAAGCTCTGTTCTTTGCGTGATGGTTAAGAACATGAACTCTGGATTCAAATGTCCTCAGTTCAAATCCTGACCATACCACTTTATATGTGTGATCCTGACAGGTCACATAATCTCTCTGTGCCTGAGTCTCATCCTTTATAAACTAGAGACCATACGGTATCACCTCTTGGTTTGTTTCAAGGTTTCAGGAGATAATATACCAAGGTTTTAGCAAAGGGCTGGCCATCGTTAAGTACTCAGAACCCCTGGCAATGGTTAGGACCATCAGCCTGGGCTTTGTTCCCTGTAGAAAGAGGTTTGTTCACTGAGCGGGTGGCCTGTGAGTGGGCAGGAGGGCAAGAGGGCCTTGAAGGACCCTGAAGCCATAGGGACACGGCAGCTGTGCATTTAATCTGTAGTCATTCATTCCACAAATATATGGAGCACCTGCGGTCTACCAGGCACTGCGCTAAGTGCTGGAAATACAGTGGTGAACAAGACAAAGTCCCGGCCCTCTTGGAGCTCAAGAGTCTAGTGGGGGGCTTCCCTGATGGCGCAGTGGTTGAGAGTCCGCCTGCCGATGCAGGGGACACAGG